AATATATTACTTTACAATATATCAAATATATATTGAAAATTGGTCATATTTTACAGAATATATATACTCTCTGGCTCTATGTATTCATTTGTCAGAAAATTATCACCAAATTGATTGAGATAGTTCGATTTCGATTACAAATTGTTAACGTATTTTCAATAGAAATGTTATTGAATCTGCTTTAATACAACTTACTAACCAATACAATAACATTAGGAATGATCAAATTTGGGTTACTTCTACTTCAACCAACTGAAGTTGAGCATAATTGCAGGGACAGTGTATTAGGAATGGTCATTTAGATACAGTTTTAATTTATTAATTAAACAACGATTTGAGTAAGATCATTATTACTTAGTTATTCGTTTAATATATCAATAAATTTAATTAGTATTGTTAGTTTCTGGAACTCACATGTATTGGCCAATGAGCCTGTTGTATTTTTATCTTGTTCTTATGTTCATGAACCAATGACATTGTTTTACACCTTATTGTTTTCTTCCCTGCCAATGTGTTACTACAACTGACTTGCAATATCCATCCTTTCTGAAGATGTATTTATTAATATGAATGTGCTCAGGAATTTCCTGTCTGATTTTCCTTCGAGGTCAGTGTCCCATTATTCATCACGTGTTAATTTTTCTTCGTGATGTACACAAACACCTCCCCCCCCCCACACACACACATACATACACACACACACACACACTCACACATAAATATAGTTTCAAATAACTCTAATTCTTGAGTATACTGCTTGTAATTGTAGTTGTTACATGTTATGCTATTATTATGACTTTCTCTTACGTAAATAATTCCCAGTATATTTGAGTAAGCCCAACTATAAATGTATTAAGCAAACATACATGAATAAAGTATTTTTATTGAATTCCGTTCACTGCGTGACACCACATCTCACCTTCACAGAATAGGTATTATTTTCTTTGCTAATTTATATCCACTTTTCCCCGGCCTCCGAAAATGCTGACAGCTTCAACGACATGTGTCGTTTAGGGACACCGCATCTGGTTCAATAGAATTTTAAAAATAACTTTGGAAATTTAAATATATAACATCATTCAAAAGGGACAATTAACAAAAGAAACATGTCTAAGATTCGTGCAAGAATCAGTGAGTTAACCCAGTGCTGCTAAACAGGTTCTGCACCTGAGTTCAACAACCGTCCTTCATAAAACGGAGACGATGGTCAATGTCGCTACTTGTTATTGACTAGTCATATTTTCAATTCTAATTTATAAAATTCATCAAGTTACAAAACTTACCCAACACATATTGCGTGGTAACCCTCAACTTTCTCTGTCTACCCAACTTTTTGCTAGCCACAACAGACTGATAACATTCATCAACGTAGTTCACTCACAGAAATTAAACAAAGATTCATCCGTGTTCTCTGAACGAAATTCTCTGTAAAAAAAAAGTGACTATTACGGACAGGACAAAATAGTGTGCATGACATCTAATAACTTACTAGTTGGTTGCGTCGCCCGGCGGTTGACGGACAGTACTGGACAGTTTCTTAATAATAGCTCAAGTGACGGAGAGAAGTGTATCGCTAACACAAAACAGTGTCGCAGGGAACAGTAGCAAGGTGTACCGTCCTAGACAGTAGGAAGGTGTACCGTCCCGTACCGTCCACACTCGTCAACTGGCCTTGTCAGGCTTCTCAACAAAAAGCACTGGGTTCGTCAGCGATGCTTCTCTGCCTTCTCTACTCTTATTATTTCCTGGTTTAACTGTATCATAGTTTGCAGCTTGTGGAAGAGAAGATGGAACATTTGGATTACTTCTACTTCAACCAACTGAAGGCAGGAAACCTCGTGCAACATGGTGCAAGTTGAGCGTAATTGCAGGAACATAAATTCTAATCACTGGCAACTCTACAACGTGTTACAAATTACATATTCATAGTTTATCTTTCTCTTATAAACCCTTTATTCCTTTTCGTTTAAAGATGCAATTAAGTGAATATATTATATTGTCTTCCTAGTAATTGACAAATTTATCCACCGTTATCAATGAGTGTATTTATTATTTGAGATATAATTCTGTGGTAATATATCTCAAATCATCTTTGAGTTACCCCTACTATCTGGCACACACACACATTTACACATAAGGGCGCCTGGTGGCTGAGTGGTCAGCACTCAGGACTCGTAATCCAGGGGACCGGGGTTTGATCCACGGCGACGGCGGAAAACTAATGGGCAGAGTTTCTTTCACCCTGATACCCATGTTACCTACCAGTAAATAGGTACCTGCGAGTTAGACAGCTGTTACGTGCTGCTTCCTGAGGGTGTGTGTGTGTGAAAACAAAGTCGTTGATTGATTGACAGTTGAGAGGCGGGCCGAAAGAGCAAAGCTCATCCCCCGCATGCACAACTAGGTGAATGCATAGAACCCATCACCACGACCGCCTGCTTTCCTTTCTGGCCAATTGGTTACACACACACACACATACACATGGGTGTGTGTATATCTCTCTTTCTCTTATACAGTCACACACATAACCCCACTCGGTGTATGTATGTGTGTGTGTGTGCACGCGCGAACACAGAGTTTGTTGATCATACGATACGTGGCCTTATTAAGAGAAGGTGAGGCTGGCCAGGATCGCCCAGATGATCCTTGTCATGCAAGTCTTGAGAGTGATAATCTAACAAATTATCTCCGTCTTATAAATAGTGATTATTTTCCACTCACTTGGGCTCCGGGAGACTCGAACCGCGAACCCCACAAGTGTGAGGCCGAAGCTCTATCGATCGAGCTATTGAGTAGTGTTAAAAAGGAAAGATTGATCTGAGGTTCGAGTGTCCTAGAGCCCAGGTGATTGGAATGTTTATTTCCACGAAAGTGTGGAGGAAAATTTAGTGTTTGTGTATATGTGTTCGATAAAGAAAATTCGTTTAAACACTTCCTAATACAGTGCACAAATCCACAAGGGCCGTGACGAGGATTTGAACCTACGTCTGAGAGCATCCCAGACGCTGCCTTAATCGACTGAGCTGACATGGTAAAAGAATGTCCTTGTGCATTTGTTCATTTGATGCATCACGCTATTGTGATTTCTGTGTGTACAGTGAATAGACCTTCGGTCAGTGGGCAGAGATGAAGGTCTTCGCATGTCGGATATATCAGGAAAGCAAACAAATGTATAACATTAGTACACTTTAATTTTATCTTTGTTTCTGCTTGCTAAACAATGCTAGGACATCTTGGCTCCCGATGAATCAGGTCACCAAACAGGGCGAGGAACCGAGATCGAAAATCCGGATTATTTTCCATCATTTTACTAGTAACTTGTCGAGTCACTTCCAGTACGTCAGGCATATCTTCCTTCTTCATGTTGATTACATCAGGCGCATCTTCCCTCTCGCCTAGTAAAACCGTTAAAAATATTGAACCTAAAATGATCCCGTATTCCATCTTGTCTCTGTACTCCTGATGGAGCTCCTCCAGGGTGAAGGGCATGTCCCTCCCCCCGGCCTCCATCACACCCCGGAAGGTGTCATAGTAGGAGGAGAGGAAGTCCCGCCATTTGACTTTGTCGTTGCCTTGGAGGCTGGAGTAGAGAAGGGAGTTGAGGTCGGTGGCCGGGGAGGCCACACGGTTCATCTGGAGGTCAAGGAGCATTACCTCAGCTGGGACACCGTCCTCGCTGTACCTGAAATTAGAGAGTAAAATATGTTAACACCTGTAACGCATCAAGAAAAGTTCTTATGTTTTAATTGGTGGAGCTGAGTGAACCCTAAACAAAAGTGTTAAAATTTTAGATGATAAATGTAGGACTGATAGAAATTTCAACTGTGCGTAGTTGTCCATTCCACAAATTCGAGTATGCAGGGAGAGTGGCAATATCTAGAGTTCTGGACCAAATTCCTCTCTAATTTTTGTATTCTTAATAATCTATTAGGTAATAGAACAATGTCAACATCACGAATAACAGGCCAAGTTATAGATGACATGTTGACCTTATTAAGGATAGGACTTAATCTCGAAACATGCTTTGAGAGCTTACTGCTGATAATTGCATGTCATGAGCTTTAATAAATGGCCTTCAACCACTGTAATATGTTCTTGCAAACCTGAACTCAAGAACCTTATGTGTCGTAACTCGGTTGTAGTGTTACCAGAGATAACACTGTTAGTTGTAAATAAGACTGTAGGAAATCGTTCAGAGGAAGAGGTCAAGTCCAACAATGAATTATTACATCATTCATTGGGCCTGTATTGCCATCTGTGCGGCAATTACCATTTCAGTAACAATTACGGGTAAGGTGGAGTATCTTTTTATGTCATGTAGTAGTGAGTTTAAATAAACCTAAAGTTTACCACTACTTCAAGATTTTGTAACCCTTCCTCATTAAATATTTTCGGTCCTCTGCTACTGAATTATAACTAGCCTCGTCAAAAACATATAAAACACATCTACAGCTAAATCATAGCATTGCTCCTAGTATCATTGCACTTACTATTTGATTCTCTAAGAGTTGAGATATGCATTGTTTAGTATAAGGCGTCTTGTCTTAAATTGGCCTTTGCTCAGGCAATTCATTATCTAATCATGATAGCTTCATGTGTTAAAGTCCGAAATAATGTTGGAGACGGATAAACAACATGCAGTAACTACACAAGAGTCGTGATGTTTTCCTGATTTTATTCAAGAGGAAAGGTGAATCGGAAATAGATAATAAGTAAACAAAAAAGAGAAGAGTCAGCAACTCACTATTCCACTCACCGGAAAAGTACATTGTTGGCCCAGCTGTCACCGTGACATATGACATCGAATTTTGGATTTCTGGCCAGCAGGCGTAACACAAGATCCATGCTGTTGTTCATGTGTCTGGCGAGCCACTGTTCTGCTACCTCATAGCCTTCCATGTTGTGTAACAACTCTCTACTACACACTAAATAGGTAGAAAACATATCATTGAAATGTTTTTTAACGTTTTCCGGGAAGTTCTTCCAGTCAACTTTAATATGTGTGAACCTGTCTGCCAGGTCTTGCTCGGGTGCCGTGGCCTTCAGCAGGAGGGAGGCGGCGTGGAGTCTGGCCAGCTCCTGCAGGACGAGGGTGGCGTGGGCCACGTCCATTCCCTTCTTGCGGTCAAACATTTTAAACCCACGTGAGCGGAGGTCCTCCAGGAAAATCATCTCTTTGTCTTTTTCTAATGATGTGTTAAACCACTTCGCCATCCGTAAACAGCAGAGTCCTCGGGTCGTGAGTTCAGCGTTGAGCAGTGGAAGGATTTCCTGGAAAAATTCTGCTTCTTTCTTGAAAATCGATGTAAAAAACACAGCAATAACATCACCGGGAGCCATTTGAGGTTTGAGTTTAATCACATAAGAAGTAGTCTGCTCCTGTCCTGCCAGGGAGAACTTGACATTGACGCTGGAGACGATGGTGGCGTAGTTGTCGCCCTTGTCTGTGAAGTCTTTAACGCTCCAGGAGACGAGGTCGGCCTCGCTGCCCTTGTCCGCCGTCAGCGCCGCCTTCACGTGAGCCTCTGTTATGTTGTCCTGCGGTCTGGCAGGTCCTGAGTCTCCTGCACTCGCCACTATGAATACACAAATTATACATTTAGATAATAGAAATAAAATAAATGGTTTGCTTTAACATACATAATAAATGAATACATCAATGGTGTGGTGATTCATGTATTCATGAATTGTGTTGGATTTCAAATATACATGAATTGTACAGAATTACATGTATGTAGGATTGGGTGTGGAAATACAGGTATACACAAACAGTGCAGGGTTGCATGCATACATAAAATAATTGGTACTACAAGTAAACTTTGTCTGGGAAAATATGCATGCATTAACTGTGGGGTTACATTTGTTTATTAACTAAAAGGGGGTTACACATGTACATAAATAATTTTAGGATATATATATATATATATATATATATATATATATATATATATATATATATATATATATATATATATATATATATATGTATATATATATGTCGTACCTAGTAGCCAGAACTCACTTTTTGGCCTACTATTCAAGGCCCGATTTGCCTAATAAGCCAAGTTTTCATGAATTAATTGTTTTTCGACTACCTAACCTACCTAACCTAACCTAACCTAACTTTTTCGGCTACCTAACCAAACCTAACCTATAAAGATAGGTTAGGTTAGGTTAGGTAGGGTTGGTTAGGTTCGGTCATATATCTACGTTAATTTTAACTCCAATAAAAAAAAATTGACCTCATACATAATGAAAAGGGTAGCTTTATCATTTCATAAGAAAAAAATTAGAAAAAAATATATTAATTCAGGAAAACTTGGCTTATTAGGCAAATCGGGCCTTGAATAGTAGGCCAAAAAGTGAGTTCTGGCTACTAGGTACGACATATATATATATATATATATATATATATATATATATATATATATATATATATATATATATATATATATATATATATATATATATATGAATTGTGTGGGGTTAATTGTATACATATAAAAAATATACATATAACTCGGTTTTATTGGATAAGTTTATGTAGTAACAGTAATTTAACAGTCTGTGTCGTGTTTAGTATTTTATGTGAGAATATATACTATTATTGAATAACATTTGATATAAAAAATATTAATATGATATATATGTAATTATTATTAAGATTATAAGATGCAACTTATATCAAGTAAATATTATATGATATCACAGTTGAACTTAGTGTTGATTTTTTCTTCATTTGTATAACTTGAAATTTAAGGAAATTACGCAACATTTGAGATGGTGAAAGAGGGAAGTTGAAAACATTAGGACATACACATGGTCAAAGAAGCTTTTGCCAATGAATCTAGAAATACTATCTGGCTTAACTGACTCTGCCGATAAACCTCCAAATAATTACTGAATCAGACCGAGGTACTTATGCGTAGAGGAAACAGGCGTACATACACGATGGGCAGAAATTAGGTAATGTACATTACTTGGAGTGGAAAAGAGCATATTTGCTAAATGAGCGGATGATCATATTTTTAAGGTCATACTTATGACAAGGAAGAAAATTGGGATTTATACAACGTGGAGGGAAATAGGTACACATGCAATATGGGAGGCAATGGGTACACATGCACCATGGGAGGCAATACACAACATTCAATAGATACAATAGAGCAAAAGGGTCCCGGTAGTACAGTCGGGTTCTTTCTCGAACCACAATCAATAACTCCGGGTTCGAATCCCGGGAGGGACAGAAATGGTTGGGCACATTTCCTTTCACATAAAGGGCCTGTTCACCTAGCAGTAAGTAGGTGCTAGGTGACTCAAGAGTTAGTCAGCTTGTTGTGGGGTTATATCATGGGCGGAGTCAGTAATTCGACCTTGGGGGAGGATGGACCTCAATGTAAAATTAAATTAACGTGTATAAATACACTCTGGCTTCCTGTCCCCCGACCCAATGAATTACAAATTTTTATTATTATAATACAACCACTGCCGCCGTGAACGTGCTCCTACATTAACACTGTCTCACCACAGGCGACGAGTCACAATGACGAGGCTCAAGAGCTGATAACCAACCCACAACTGAAAATTATGGAAAGGTTTTGCTCCGTCCTGAACTATTATAATGTTGTGGGAAAGAGAAAACAATGTAAGGCAATTAAGGAAGACAGTGAATGAGAACACAATATAAAGGATGAGATTGAGATGAATGAACCTTACTGAAACCATCCTAGACCCCAGAGGAGAAATTAGTTCTATTTTTGTTTAAGAAACTTTCCTTACATATACACTGAAACACTACTAAAAACGCAGAGGAGAGAGTATCAATGTTAGAATGGACCCGTTCTCCGTGGGCAGAAGAGAATGTTCTCCCCGGTAGGGAGGTACACAACACACACCAGCTAACTTACTTTGATGTTGACAAGAGGGACGGCTAACGAGGAACTGTAATTTGCTTCGAAATTGTCAACGAGGATATTATTGTCAGCGACCGTCAAAAGGCGTACCACCAGTGACCGCTAAGATGCGTATGCTCCCACAACCGCCAGGTGGGGAGCCTAGCAAGTTAACTGGGTGCTATTGGAGGGTGGGGACGCGCTCTCTGGTACTGGTGGGCGGAGCCGACTGCCCTGCTGCTGGACAGTTGGGGTTTTCTTTGTTAAGATACTCCGTTGCTGTAACTTGAGAAAGGTAGATGGATGTAACAGGTTATTCAATCTGTAAACTTACGCATTTAAATTCAATTATCTTCAGGTGTCTGTTCAAGTAACACGGTTAATAAATGAAACATGTGTACAGAGACAAACCTGTCCTCTCGACAGCCAGGTGGTCCACAAATCACTGAAGATTTAAAGTGTATATATAAGAGACTAAAGAGTTACCAACTCCAACGACACTTGAGAGCAATTATCTGAATTGGACCGGCTGCTTTTCGGTATCTTTCGAGCAATAGATAAAACAGTGGTAATGACTGAGACATGGCGGTCGTCTCTTGCTTTGTAGTCATGATGTTTCTCATCTCTAGTTATCCGTAATTGCTCTCAATTCTTTAAGACATAACTGTAACATACTTCTGTCTGAAGCTAAACACAAATACAACAAAATTATTAAAATTAATGATGGTAACAGAGTCCATTTCATGTAGGCGTCGTCTCGTGTTGGCTTCTGAATGCATGATAGAGCTAATAAGTTAGTCAAAGTATCTGCCTCTAAAGGAAAATTTGAGAATAACCTTGGATTGTCAATAAGCAGTCTGAGAGCAATAGTACACCAAGAACTTCAACAAAATCTTGTAGCTCTGAGGCAAAGTGAAATCGACGCCAGTAATTCCATCTGTCATCATACTATCATGCAAGAGGAGCCACACATCTATGGATCATCCAATAAAATCAGCAGACTTCTGGATGTTACTACTGCTCGGCTTAGACTCGGTCACAAGTATCTCTGGGAATTCTCATTATCTGCTGGTGTTGACCTGACCAAATGTACACTGTGTCAACAAAATTATTCATACATCCTCCGTCACTATGTGATGGAGTGCGAAAAGATACGTGAATTCAGAGACAGTTGTATAACAAATGTTCCAAAGATGTTTTCATTCAAAATGATCTGCTACCCGAAATCTTAGCCAAATATCCCCAGTTTGCTAACTGTATGTAGCAACTAATTGATTGTAACCTATCTATTGCTGCCCACTGGATGGGGAGCCGGTGTGCAGAACAAACATATCAATTGTGACACTAGCTCTCCACATATATGTCAGTTGCTTAAATTAGAAATTGTACTTTTGGTCTATCTCGAACCCATTGATGATGTGGCGACTTATACTGAATTTTTTAACTAGCTCATCAAGATTGTAACTTGCTTAGCTAAATGAATTATAGGGTTCAGTCCCTGAGCCCATTATGCTCCTCTGTAACCCTTTCTCCTACTGCCAACAAGATGGGTATGGGGTGCATGATAAATGAACAAACTGAACTGTTGCATAAGTTGGTGCAACAGATATAAGTTGTTTCTTCCTTGCACGCGCTGGAAGCGGAAGTCTTGTGAATGTGATGACTATAGAACGGAAAAATATTAGTAAATTGGGATTGCAGATGAGTCAGATGTAGGAAATTACTATCATACACACATACATAATCATACATAGCATGTGTGTGTGGGAGAAAGAGACAGAAATTGGGAGAGACAGACACAAATAGCAGCCTCTGATAGCACAGTGGTAACACACTGTGCGCCCTGCGGCCTATATGTGCCTAGGTTCGAGTCCAAGCCATGGAGGATTGTTTAGGCGTCAATCCTTTAATGTTCGCCTCTTGTCACCCAGCAGTAATTGGGTACCTGGTTGTATAATCGATTGACGGGTCGTGTTCCAGGGAAAAGTTACAGGAAAGGTTCTAAGGCCTGGTCAACGACCGGACAGCAGGGACGCGTAGCCCCGAAATTATCTCAAGGTAAAGGCTTACAATAGGATCTGGAAGGGAAAGTTCTCAGTCTGCTAACAAGCGTCAGAAATCGTTTGTTCTTGTTGTTTCGTCTGTTCTTGTTGGTCAAGATGTTGTGAAGACTTTTGCTTGGCAATGTAGAGAATACACCCAGGTTCCTTCTGTGCTTCTCAATTATTGATAGATAACACAATATCCAGCTGACCAGAGATCCACCAGCTCCACTGGTACATATCAAAATTCCTTAACTGCTGGAAAAACAACTACACTTCACTCCACTGGACTAAGAATGTACTAAATTTTAACACTCTTGGAACACTATTAATGCACATTGAAAATGCTGTGAAAACAAAATGTTGAAACATCACAGAGAAGATGTGTGTGGAGTTGGCAGCCAACCCCAGTATTTGTCTAGTCACTGAAGGTTTAACATTCAAGATACGTGGTTATTACTCAGTAAAACACTGTTATTGAATATCAAGGTAAGTACCAGCTAGCACTTACTTAGCTGGTCCTTACCTTGGAAAATATATGATAGGAAGTTTAACAGTAGCCCACTGAAACACTGTCAATAGAGCGTGGAGGTAGCTTGTGTGTGGTGTTTGTTTACTTCTAGGGAACGACAGCAGCGCGTGCAGCGGCAGCGCCACGAAGCTTGGGCTGTCGTCACGAGTAACAGTGACGTCACAAGAGCGGTGATGACGTTGTCGGAGATCTTCGATAGTGCAGTGACGACGACGACGACGTTACGACGAAGTAAGCACAGGTAACATTTGAGGGCGAAGATAATAAATGCTCTGCTGAGGATGAAGCAGTAGGGGCGACATCACTACAGTTGGCGGTAGCGGTGGCGGCGGCGGCGGAGTGGGCTGCGTAGCAACTAACTTGAACCGCACAGACGAACACACAAAGGCTGGTGGCGGGTGGCAGGGGATGGGCTCCAAGACACCGGGGTTTCATAATGGAGCGGGAAATTGGTCAGTTCCCTCACAGCTGTGCTGTGAGGGAACATATGTATGTATATATATATATATATATATATATATATATATATATATATATATATATATATATATATATATATATATATATATATATATATATATATGTATGTATGTATATATATATATATATATATATATATATATATATATATATATATATGTATGTATATATATATATATATATATATATATATATATATATATATATATGTATATATATATATATATATATATATATATATATATATATATATATATATATATATATATATATATATATATATATATATATATATATATATATATATATATATATATATATATATATATATATATATATATATATATATATAAACGAAACAATAATGTCTCTTAAAAATTTCACATAAGGCAAAAAACTCGAATTATTTTAAAACCATTTTATTACATTACTGGACACTACGACCCGATGGCTTACGGCTGAATCAGGTCGACAAAAGTAGCAAGGAACCGAGATCGAAAGATTTTATTATTTTCCATCATTTTTATTGTTTTCTGACGAAATTTTTCGAACATCTTCGGGACATCTTCTTCCTTCATGTTGATCATATCAGGAAAATCTTCAGCTTTGCCCAATTGAATCGTTACCGACATTGTACCGAAGAGCAGACCGTATTCCATCTTGTCTCTGACCTCCTGATGGAGCTCCTCCAGGGTGAAGGGCATGTCAATCCCCCCGGCCTCCATCACACCCTGGAAGGTGTCGTAGTAGGAGGAGAGGAAGTCCCGCCAGTTGGCCTTCCTGTCGTTGCCGTGGAGGCTGGTGTAGAGGAGGTAGTTGAGGTCGGTGGCCGGGGAGGCCACACGGTTCAGTTGGAGGTCAAGGAGCATCACCTCAACGGGGTCACCATCCTTGTTGTACCTGTTATAATAAAAATGAGTTAAGACCTAAAGGTTAAACAATAGTAAACGAACAAGTCCACAACGGCCGTTGTGAGATACAAGTGATGATATATCGTGATGATAAACCGTGATTATATATTACGCTATTTTGATTTCTCTGTTTATAAAAGTAATAGTGTAAAACTGTATGCAATTTGGAGAACTAAATACTTGGCTTATAAATACATATGTATGACACAAAGTTTGCATGAACTCATTGGTTTAGTCGGTACGGTCTTCAGTACACCAAGGGGGTAGTACTGGGCGGCGGGGATTCGAATCCTGGTCGGGTCAATAGAGTTCTTTGAGACACAAATATTTATGTTTGATCTTCGGTTAGTTTTGATAAGGTAAAATTTTGAATTTGAGGTTGAAGTTCATCATCCACTTCAGTTAAAGAGACTTCAAGTAGTTTACTAGCAATTAAGTATATAATGCAGATCTGACCAGCGTGGAGACCAGTCCAAAACTAGCCTGGAGCAGTTATATGTAAATAGTTTTGTAGAAGCTCCATTCTTTAAGGATAGTAGAGTCAGGGTCTTGATTTCCAATCACCTGAAGAGTAAATTGTTGTTCCAGCAGTCACCATGGCATATGACGTCGAACTTGGGATTTCTGACCAGCTGGCGAAGTAAAAGATCAGCAAAATTGTTCTTGTGTTTGGCCAGCCACTGTGCTGCTACCTCGTAGCCTTCTATATCACGCAGTATCTCCTCACCGGCCGCCATTGGGCCAATACACATATCATTATATAATTGTTTAGTAGTATCTGGGAAACTAATCCAGTCAACTTTAATAAGTGTGAACCTGTCTGCCAGGTCTTGCTCTGGTGCCGTGGCCTTCAGCAGGAGGGAGGCGGCGTGGAATCTGGCCAGCTCCTTCAGGACGAGGGTGGTGTGGGCCACGTCCATTCCCTTCTTGCAGTCAAACATTATAAACCCACGTGAGCGGAGGTCCTCCAGGAAAATCATCTCTTTTTCTATTTCTAATGATGTGTAAAACCACTTCGCTACTCTTAAGCTATGAAGACCACGGACCGTCAGCTCACCGTTCAGTAGAGGAAGAATGTCCAGGAAAAATTCTGATTCTTTCTTAAATATTGCTGAAAAAAATTCTGACATGCCGACTTCAACAGCTCGCTTAGGATTGAGTTTGACAACGTAAGAGGTAGTTTGCTCCTTCCCTGCCAACAAGAACTTGACATTGACGCTGGTGACGATGGTGGCGTAGTTGTCGCCCTTGTTTGTAAAGTCCTTAACGCTCCACGAGACGAAGTCGGCCTCATTGCCCTTGTCCGCCGTCAGCGCTGCCTTCACGTGAGCCTCAGTTATGTTGTCCTGCGGTCTGGCAGCTCCTGCGTCTCCTGCACTCGCCACTATGGAAGAAAAGTATGTTACTTAATACACACGGGCAATATCATCCTGGAACTCAATAACAAAACGCAATAATATAACAATTAAATGTAACAACGATATATTGAATTCTACAATGCTATCCTCCATTGATGACCGTCATTCTCAGGTAGAAAATGGAGTTGGATTATTATACACTAAACTAAAATCATGTAACATGCACTCTCCATTCTTGTTACATCGAAATCATTCAGAATTAATCGACCATCACTTTTGAACGAACTTTAGGCCTCTAGTGTCTCGCATACATAATGAAATTCTCATAGGTTTTACTGGCAAACCCTAACTTCAAGTATTTTTGGTTCATATATAGTAATAAGGAAAACTAACTTATTATTCACGTTCGTTCAGAGAGTATAAAGGTCAGAAAAGGTGGCTAATGCTGTCTATATCTACAAAAGGGAATGTCTCTTTGGTTATGTATGTGAGACCAGATGCTTGGGGATTCACCCATATTTGTCGAGAAAATGATTTCAAGGTATGCTTAAATTGAGTGCATTAAGAAATAATAGCATTTATTAATAGCTTTTCCCCATCTGATATTTGTTGTGTGATAAGTATGGTGTTTCCCGTGGAGTTTTTCGTGATTATAATAATTTATTTTCAGGCTGTGCTGAGCCTACATCCATATAGGCAATTGCTGGTGAAGTGTTATAGTTCTGTGTACGCCAGGCGGTGAGCCCTGGAGATGCAGGTTCGAACCCTGGTCGGGTCAGAGAGTTCTTAGTGATTTAGTGCTTGGGGGCCATTCAAGTTCTCTCACAATTGTAGGTTCAGTGTGGCCCGAGCACTGATGAACCAGGATTTGATGATAAATTATGCTCAAAATGCACCATGTGAGTTTCCGAGGGATTGGTTATCCATTGCTCCCAGTTACTTAGCTGGGAGACTGACCAATCCTTATAAGCAATCACTTGTTATGGTACTGTGTACGATGGGGTGTATCCGGCGTTGCTCGGGTCTGTCTGTATCACATCTGTCCATCTATCTATCCCTCCATTTGTCTGTCTGTTTATCTATCTTCCTATCTATCCGTCCGTCTATCCATCGATCTCTCTATTTTTCCATCTATCAAGCCATCTTTACATTTGTTTATCCACCTATCCATTTATATATCCATCAATCTATGCAACTATCAATCTATCCATCTTTCCCTCTATTTATCCATCTATCCCTCTTTTTATCCATTTATATATTCATCTATCCATCCATCTACTCATCTTCATTCATGTATCCCTTTCGTTGTGGGGGTCTGAATAAGATCCTGGCACGCTGTTCCCCTTTCAATTATGGCTACCCTAACCAGCCTATGTTCATTCCTTTTCCCAGACCATTTCCTCTGCCAATTCTAATGTATAAAATACATTAAGACAGTTACTAAACTTGCCCAGTACATTTGGCGTCGAAGCCCTCAATTTTCTCAATCTACCCAACCTTCCACTAACCACAACAGGTTAAGAATATTGTTAGCGAACAATGTTGTTCACTAACAGAAATCGAATACAGACACGTCTGTACTCTGCACTAAACTGAATATGTAATACAATTACCTGAAAGGGCAGAACACTATAATGTTATTGACACCAAATAACTTACTACTAAGATGCGTCGACCGACGGTCGAAGGACAGTTCTTGTCTTTTTAATGGTCTAATGGATGAAGAGAAGTGAAGCGCTCTACAGCACAAAGAAGTGAATATTTGCACGAGACAGCAGGGAGGTGTTCCGTCCCTTACCGTTCACACCCGTCAACTGGCCCCGTCCGCTTTTGAACAAACTCCAGGGGGTAGCTCTTAAGGGTGCCTGTCTGTCTTCTCTACCTATATTTTTATTATTTCCTGCTCAACTGTGTCCTAGTTTGCAACTTGAGGAAGAGAAGATGAATATTTCAGTTTACTTCCCCTTCATCTTACTGAAGCAGGAAACAGTTCTTGCAACATGGTGCAAGTTGACAACAATTGCAGGGACACAAATTCTAACCACTGGCAACCCTCCAAACAGGGCCAAAAAATATGTTCGTTTATCTTTCTCTTATAGACTCATTATAACATTTCGTTTAAAGGTGCAGTTAAGTAAATTAACAAATACACATTTAAGTGTCTTTCTAGTTGTTGACACAATGCTATCAGCCGTTGTTATGACGTTGTTATGTTAATCATGACAACCTTCCTTCCCTCCTGTCAGCCTGCCTGCCTTCATACCAGCTTACTTGCCGTGTTGCCCTCCTGCCAGCCAACCTGCCAGCTTTCCTGCCATCTTACCTGCCGGGTTGCTAGCCTGTCTTCCGTCATGACAGCCTGCCTGCCATCATACCAGCGTGCCTCACAGCCTGTCTGCCAATCTGTCAGCCTTCCTGCCAGCCTAGCTGACGTCCCGCCTGCCGTCCTGCCTGTCAGACTATCTGCTGTCCGGTCAACCTGCTTGTCATCCTTCCATCATGCCTTTCAGCCGGCTATCTTGCCTCCCAGTCTGCCTGTTTTCCTGCGGTTGATTTGTCAACCTGCTTGCCCTCTTGCAAACGTACCTCCCTGATTGTCATGCTGCTAGCTGGCCGTTCTACCAGCCTGCCTAATTTCCTGATGGCCTGCCATCCATATCTCTTGCCGCTATGTCTGCCTGCCTACCTGTCTTCCGGCCTACCATCTTGGCTTCCTGTCAGCCTGACTGCCTATTTGGCTATTTTCCTGAATGTTTTCCTGAATTATATATATATATATATATATATATATATATATATATATATATATATATATATATATATATATTATACACGTGATGATATATATATATATATATATATATATATATATATATATATATATATATATAATATATATATATATATATATATATATATATATATATATATATATACACGTGATGATATATATATATATATATATATATATATATATATATATATATATATATATATATATATATATATATATATATATATATTATTAAATATGACCGAAAAAGTAAGATTAATAATTCTAACACGAATTTTCTCAATCTTTCGTACATTTCTTTTCACTATTGGAGGTAAATCAAAAATCAATTCTCCAAAATTCATTTTTATTTCTAGTCTGACGCGACACGAGCGCGTTTCGTAAAACTTATTACATTTTCAAAGACTTTAGTTCACAAATACACAACTGAATAGAACTTACGCATCTCCGATTTTATATCTACATTTGAGTGAGGTGGAAGGGGTGATGTGGCATTAACACAAGACAGAACAAGATGTGGCATTAATAGGGTATTAATTTCATCAACACAAGACAGAACAAGAAGTGGTATTAATAGGGTATTAATTTCATCAACACAAGACAGAACACGAAACAATGGATATTGAATAGAAGTGTTTGTAGAAAGCCTATTGGTCCATATTTCTTGATGCTTCTATATTGGAGCGGAGTCTTGAGGTGGGTAGAATATAGTTGTGCAATAATTGGCTGTTGATTGCTGGTGTTGACTTCTTGATGTGTAGTGCCTCGCAAACGTCAAGCCGCCTACTATCGCTGTATCTATCGATGATTTCTGTGTTGTTTACTAGGATTTCTCTGGCGATGATTTGGTTGTGGGAAGAGATTATATGTTCCTTAATGGAGCCCTGTTGCTTATGCATCGTTAAACGCCATATATATATATATATATATATATATATATATATATATATATATATATATATATATATATATATATATATATATATATATATATATATATATATATATATATATATATATATATATATATATATATATATATATATATATATATATATATATATATATGCCACATAAGGCAAAAAATGTCTCATAAGGCAAAAAACTCGTTATATTTTAAAACCATTTTATTACCTCACTGGACACTACGACCCAATGGCTTACGGCTGAATCAGGTCGACAAAAATAGCAAGGAACCGAGATCGAAAGATTTGATTCTTTTCCATCATTCTTATTGTGTTCTGACGACCTTTTTCGAACATCTTCGGGAAATCTTCTTCCTTCATGTTGATTATATCAGGAGAATCTTCTGCTTTGCCCAATTGAATCGTTACCGACATTGGACCGAAGAGCAGACCGTAATCCATTTTGTCTCTGACTTCCTGATGGAGCTCCTCTAGGGTGAAGGGCATGTCAATCCCCCCGGCCTCCATCACATCCTGGAAGGTGTCGTAGTAGGAGGAGAGGAAGTCCCGCCAGTTGGCCTTCCTGATGTCTCCGTGGAGGCTGGTGTAGAGGAAGAAGTTGAGGTCGGTTGCCGGGGAGGCTACACGGTTCACCTGGAGGTCAAGGAGCATCACCTCAACGGGGTCACCATCCTCGCTGTACCTGTTATAATAAAAATGAGTTAAGACCTAAAGATAAAGCAATAGTAAGTGAACAGATCCACAAGGGGCGTGATGAGATACACGTGATGATATACAGTGATGACATATCAGGCTATTTTGTCTCATGTGTGTATTAAAGCAATAGTGTATTACTGTATGCAATTTGGAGAACTAGATACTTGACTTATAAATACATATGTATGACATAAAGACTGCATGAACTCATTGTTTTAGTCGGTACGGTAATCCGCACGCCATGGGGTAGTTCTGGGCGGCGGGGATTCGAATCCTGGTCGGGTCAATAGTGACACAAATATTTATGTTTGAACTTCGGTTAGTTTTGATAAATTAAGATTTTGAATTTGAGGTTGAAGTACATCATCCCCCTGAATTAGAGAGGCTTCAAGTAGTTCACTAACAAGTATATAGTGCAGATCTGACCAGCGTGGAGACCAGTCCAAAACTAGCCTGGTGCAGTTATAAGTAAATAGTTTTGTAGAGACTCCATTCTTTAATGATAGAAGAGTCAGCATCTTGATTTCCAATCACCTGAAGAGTAAATTGTTGTTCCAGCAGTCACCATGGCATATGACGTCGAACTTCGGATTTCTGACGAGCTGGCGTAAGAGAAGATCAGCGAAATTGTTCTTGTGTTTGGCCAGCCACTGTGCTGCTACCTCGTAGCCTTTTATATCACGCAGTATCTCCTCACCCGCCGCCATGGGGCCAGAACACATATTATTAAAAAGGTTTTTAACAATATCCGGAAAACTCGTCCAGTCAACTTTAATAAGTGAGAACCTGTCTGCCAGGTCTTGCTTGGGTGCCGTGGCCTTCAGCAGAAGGGAGGCGGCGTGGAGTTTGCCCAGCTCCTGCAGGACGAGGGTGGCGTGGGCCACGTCCATTCCCTTCTTGCCGTCCAACAATTTAAACCCACGTGAGCGGAGGTCCTCCAGGAAAATCATCTCTTTGTCTTTTTCTAGTGATGTGTAAAACCACTTCGCTACTCTTAAGCCTTGAAGACCTCGGACCGTCAGCTCAACGTTCAGTAGGGGAAGAATTTCTTGGAAAAATTCTGATTCTTTCTTGAATATTGAAAAATAAAATTCTGACATTCCGAGCTCAACAGTTCTTTTAGGATTGAGCTTGACCACATAAGAGGTAGTTTGCTCCTGCCCTGCCAGGGAGAACTTGACATTGACGCTGGTGACGATGGTGGCGTAGTTGTCACCCTTGTTTGTAAAGTCTTTAACGCTCCACGAGACGAGGTCGGCCTCGCTGCCCTTGTCCGCCGTCAGCGCCGCTTTCACGTGAGCCTCTGTTATGTTGTCCTGCGGTCTGGCAGCTCCTGCATCTCTTGCACTCGCCACTATGGAAGAAAAATATATTTCTTCATACACACCGGCCATATCATCCTGGAACTCAATAACAAAACGCAATAATATAAAAATTAAATGTAACAAAGATATATTGAATTCTACAATGCTATCCTCCATTGATGACCGTCATTCTCAGGTAGAAAATGGAAGTAGATTATTATACACTAAACTAAAATCAACCCGCATGCACTCTCCATTCTTGTTACATCGAAATCATTCAGAATTAATTGATCATCACTTTTGAACGATTTTTAGGCCTCTAGTGTCTCGCATACATAATGAAATTCTCACAGGTTTTACTGGCAAACCCTAACTTCAAGTATTTTTGGTTCATATATAGTAATAAGGAAAACTAACTTATTTTTCAGGAACGTTCAGAGAGTACAAAAGTCAGAAAAGGTGGCTAAAGCTGTCTGTATCTACAAAAGAGAATGTTTGGTTATGTATGTGAGACCAGATGCTTGGGGATTCACCAATATTTGCCGATAAAATGATTTCGAGGTATGCTTAAATTGAGTGCATTAAGAAATAATAGCATTTATTAATAGCTCTTTCCCATCTGATATTTGTTGTGTGATATGTATGGTGTTTCCCGTGGAGTTTTTCGTGATTATAATAATTTATTTTCGGGCTGTGCTGAGCCTACATCCATATAGGCAATTGCTGGTTAAGTGTTATGGTTATGTGTAGGCCAGGGGGTGAGCCCTGGAGATGCAGGTTCGATCCCTGGTCGGGCCAGAGAGTTCTTAGTGATTTATGGCATGGAAACCATTCAGGTTCTCTCACAATTGTAGTTTCAGTGTGGCCCGAGCACTGATGAACCAGGTTTTGATGATAAATTATGCTCAAAATGCACCATGTGAGTTTCCGAGGGATTGGTTATCCATTGATCTCAGTTATTGAGCTGGGAGACTGACCAATCCTTATAAGCGATCACTTGTTATGGTACTGTGTACGATGGGGTGTATCCGGTGTTGCTCGGGTCTGTCTGTATCACATCTGTCCATCAATCTAATCCTCCATTTATCTGTCTATTTATCTATCCTCCTATCTATCAATCCGTCTATCCATCCGTCTGTCTATCCATCGATCCATCTATCAAGCCATCTCTCCATTTGTCTGTCTACCTATCCATTCCTTTATATATCTATCTATCTGTTCAACTACCAGTCTATCCATCTATCCCTCTATTTATCCATCTATATATTCATCTATCCATCCATCTTCTCATCTCTTCACTCATGTAACCCTTTCGTTGTGGGGGTCTGAATAAGATCCTGGCACGCTGTTCCCCTTTTAATTATGGCCGCCCTGACCAGTCTATGTTTATCCCGTACCCCAGACCATTTCCACGGCAAATTCTAATGTACAAAAATACATTAAGGTAGTTACTAAACTTGCCCAGCATATATAGCGTCGTAGCAGTCAATTGTATTAATCTACACAACTTTCCACGAACCCCAGCTGGTTAAGAATATTATTAGCGAACAATGTTGTTCACTAACAGAAATCGAATACAGACACGTCTGTGTACTTTGGACTAAACTGAATATGTAATAAAATTACCTGAATTTGCAGAACACTATAATGTTATTGACACCAAACAACTTACTACTAAGATGCGTCGACCGACGGTCGAAGGACAGTTCTTGTCTTTTTAATGGCCTGGTGGATGAAGAGAAGTGTAGCAACACAAAGTAGTGAATATTAGGTGTACCACACGAGACAGTAGAGAGGTGTTCCGGCCCTTATCGTTCACACCCGTCAACTGGCCCCGTCCGCTTCTGAACAAATTCCAGAGGGTATCTCCTAAGGGTGCCTGTCTGTCTTCCCTACCTATATTTTTATTATTTCCTGCTCAACTGTGTCCTTGTTTGCAACTTGAGGAAGAGAAGATGAACATTTCAGTTTACTTCCCTTTCATCTTACTGAAGCAGGAAACAGTTCTTGCAATATGGTGGAAGTTGACAACAATTGCAGGGACACAAATTCTAACCACTGGCAACCCTCCAAACAGGGCCAAATAATATGTTCGTTTATCTTTCTCTTATAGACTCATTACAACATTTCGTTTAAAGGTACAGTTAAGTAAATTAACAAATTCACATTAAAGTGTCTTCCTAGTTGTTGACACAATGCTATCAACCGTTGTTACGTTGTCGTTATCGAAGAGTTTATTTAATATTTGTGATTTAATACTGTTGTAATATATCTCTCGTAATTTTTGAGTTACTCCTACTATCTGGTACACACACAGAGTGGTGCATGTGTGTGTGTGTGTGTGTGTGTGCACCCGCCCGAGCAGAGAGTTGTTTAAGATATACATATAAAGCATTATTAATAGGAGTGAGACAGCCCAGACTTGACCCATGGATCTTTCTCTTGCAAGAAAATTAAATTAGAATTGCGAGAGATAAGTTAACTAATTTTCACCGTCTGATAATTGGCGATTACGTATTTCCGTTTGATTCAGAAAAGTCATTCTAGCTCATCATATCACAGTGTCCTGAGTTATTGAACTTCAGTAATGGGCAGAGATGAAGGTCTTCGTTAATTACTGCATGTTGGATATATCTAGAAACATATTTATTCGGCTAATCATGCCAACCTGCCTTCCCTCCTGCCAGCCTGCCTGCCTTCCCCAAAGCTTACTTGCCGTGTTGCCCTCCTGCCAGCCAACCTAGCAGCCTTCCTGCTATCTTACCTGCCGCGTTGCTAGCCTGTCTTCCGTCATGACAGCCTGCCTGCCATCATACCAGCGTGCCTCACAGCCTGTTTGCCAATGTGTCAGCCTTCCTGCCAGCCTAGCTTACGTCCCGCCTGCCGTCCTGCCTGTCAGACTATCTGCTATCATGTCAACCTGCCTGTCATCCTTCTAGCCTGCCGTCTTGCCTGTCAGTCAGCCATCTTGTCTCTCAGTCTGCCTGCCTGCCTGTGATTGATTTGTCAACCTGCTTGCCCTTTTGCAAACGTACCTCCCTGATTGTCATGCTGGTAGCTGGCCGTTCTACCAGTCTGCCTACTTTCCTGATGACCTGCCATCCATATCTCTTGCCGCTATGTCTGCCTGCCTGCCTGTCTCCCGGCCTACCATCTTGCCTTCCTGTCAACCTGACTGCCTATTTGGCTATTTTCCTGAATGTTTTCCTGAATTTCCTGTATATATATATATATATATATATATATATATATATATATATATATATATATATATATATATATATATATATATATATATATGCCACATAAGGCCAAAAATGTCTCATCAGGCAAAAAACTCGATTTATTTTAAACACATTTTATTACCTCACTGGACACTACGACCCGATGGCTTACGGCTGAATCAGGTCGACAAAGACAGCAAGGAACCGAGATCGAAAGATTTGATTATTTTCCATCATTTTTATTGTGTTCTGACGACTATCTTCGAACATCTTCGGGACATCTTCTTCCTTTATGTTGATTATATCAGGTGAATCTTCAGCCTTGCCCATCTGAATCGTTACCGACATTGTAGCGAAGAGCAGACCGTAATCCATCTTGTCTCTATACTCCTGATGGAGCTCCTCCAGGGTGAAGGGCATGTCCCTCCCCCCGGCCTCCATCACACCCCGGAAGGTGTCGTAGTAGAAGGAAAGCAAGTCCCGCCAGTTGGCCTTCCTGATGTCTCCATGGAGGCCGGTGTAGAGGAGGTAGTTGAGGTCGGTGGCCGGGGAGGCTACACGATTCAGTTGGAGGTCAAGGAGCATCACCTCAACGGGGTCACCATCCTCGTTGTACCTGTTATAGTAATGATGAGTTGTGCACTGTTATTATAAATTAATTATTTATGCACTGTTGCCTAAACACAAGTCAACAGTTCATAAAAGTACGTATTTATGTATGTATGTATGTATGTATGTATGTATGTATGTATGTATGTATGTATGTATGTATGTATGTATGTATGTATGTATGTATGTCTGTATGTATGTAGACAAAACCACACACTAGAAAATGAAGGGACGACTACGTTTCGGTCCGTCCTGGACCATTCTCAAGTCGAATGTGATTCTTTTCCATCATGGTCTGTCTTGGACCATTTTCTTGTGTGTGGTTTGGTCAACATATTTCAGCCACGTTATTGTGACTCCTCGTCTACATATATATATATATATATATATATATATATATATATATATATATATATATATATATATATATATATATATATATATATATATATATATATATATATATATATATATATATTAGTATATTTTGGTAGCAGTCTTTCCTGTAGACATATATTATTAAATATGACCGAAAAAGTAAGATTAATAATTCTAACACGAATTTTCTCAATCTTTCGTACATTACGCTTCACTGTTGGAGGTAAATCAAAAATCACTTCTCCAAAATTCATTTTTATTTCTAGTCTGACACGACACGGGCGCGTTTCGTAAAACTTATTACATTTTCAAAGACTTCACAAATACACAACTGATTAGAACTTACGTATCTCTGATTTTATATCTACATTTGAGTGAGGTGGGAGGGGTGATGTGGCATTAACACAAGACAGAACAAGAGGGGATATTAATAGGGTATTAAAAGTATCAACACAAGACAGAACAGAAACAATGGGTATTGAATAGAAGTGTTTGTAGAAAGCCTATTGGTCCATATTTCTTGATGCTTCTATATTGGAGCGGAGTCTTGAGGTGGGTAGAATATAGTTGTGCAATAATTGGCTGTTGATTGCTGGAATCAACAACCAATTATTGCACAACTCACCTCAACCCACCTCAAGACTCCGCTCCAATATAGAAGCATCAAGAAATATGGACCAATAGGCTTTCTACAAACACTTCTATTCAATACCCATTGTTTCTGTTCTGTCTTGTGTTGATACTTTTAATACCCTATTAATATCCCCTCTTGTTCTGTCTTGTGTTAATGCCACATCACCCCTCCCACCTCACTCAAATGTAGATATAAAATCAGAGATACGTAAGTTCTAATCAGTTGTGTATTTGTGAAGTCTTTGAAAATGTAATAAGTTTTACGAAACGCGCCCGTGTCGCGTCAGACTAGAAATAAAAATGAATTTTGGAGAAGTGATTTTTGATTTACCTCCAACAGTGAAGCGTAATGTACGAAAGATTCAGAAAATTCGTGTTAGAATTGTTAATCTTACTTTTTCGGTCATATTTAATAATATATATATATATATATATATATATATATATATATATATATATATATATATATATATATATATATATATATATATATATATATGTATATAATATTTGTATGTTTGAACTTCGGTTAGTTTTGATGAGGTAAGATTTTGAATTTGAGATTGAAGTTCATCATCCACCTGAGTTAAAGAGACTTCAAGTATATAGTGCAGTCCGGACCAGCGTGGAGACCAGTCCAAAACTAGCCTGGAGCAGTTATAACTAATTAGTTTTGTAGAATCTCCATACTTTAAATATAATAGAGTCAGCATCTCGATTTCCAATTACCTGAAGAGTAAATTGTTGTTCCAGCAGTCACCATGGCATATGACGTCAAACTTGGGATTTCTGTCTAGGTGGCGCAGGAGAATATCAGCGAAATTGTTGTTGTGTTTCGCCAGCCACTGTGCTGCTACCTCGTAGCCTTCTATATCACGCAGCATCTCCTCACCCGCCGCCATGGGGCCAGAAAACATATCATTAAACATTTTTTTAGCAATATCTGGGAAACTCATCCAGTCAACTTTAATATGTGTGAACCTGTCTGCCAGGTCTTGCTCAGGTGCCGTGGCCTTCAGCAGAAGGGAGGCGGCGTGGAGTTTGCCCAGCTCCTGCAGGACGAGGGTGGCGTGGGCCAAGTCCATTCCCTTCTTGCTGTCCAACATTTTAAACCCACGTAAGCGGAGGTCCTCCAGGAAAATCATTTCTTTGTCTTTTTCAAATGATGTGTAAAACCACTTCGCTACTCTTAAACCTTGACGACCATTGACCGTCAGCTCAGCGTTTAGTAGAGGAAGTATGTCTTGGAAAAATTCTGATTCTTTCTTGAATATTGCTGATAAAAAATCTGACATGCCGAGTTCAACAGCTCGGTTAGGATTGAGTTTGACCGCATAAGAGGTAGTCTGCTCCTGCCCTGCCAGGGAGAACTTTACACTGACGCTGGTGACGACGGTGGCGTAGTTGTCGCCCTTGTTTGTAAAGTCCTTAACGCTCCAAGAGACGAGGTCGGCCTCGCTGCCCTTGTCCGCCGTCAGTGCCGCCTTCACGTGAGCCTCTGTTATGTTCTCCTGCGGTCTGGCAGCTTCTGCGTCTCCTGCACTCGCCACTATGGAGGAAAATATATAATACTTCTTACACAAATGTAATAACATCTTTGAACTCAATAACAAAACGCAATAATAGGAGCATTAGATATAACTATGCTATATTAAATTCTACAGTCGGATCCCCCATAGATGACCGTCATTTTTTAGGTGGAGGACTATACGCTAAACTAAAATCCTGCCAAATGCACGCTCCATTCCTATTACATCGAAATCATTCAGATTTAAACGACCATCACCTTTGCATGAACTTTAAGTCTCTAGTATCTCGCATACATAATGAAAATTCTTACAGATTTTACTGGCAAATCCTAAGTTCGAGTATTCTTGGATCATATATAGTAATAAGGCAAACCTAACTTAATATTCAGGATCGATCAGAGAGTTTAAAGGTCAAAAGAGGAGGATAAAGTTGTCTTTGTCAACAGAAGATAAATGAAATGATATATACAGAAGATATTTGTTTGGTTATGTGTGTGAGGCCATATGCTTGGGGTCTCACCCATATTTGCAGGGAAAAATTATATAATAATGATTTATGCACTGTTGCCTAAACACAAGTCAACAGTGCATAATACAAGTCAATTCGAGGTATTGAGTGCTTTAAGAACATACTTCACATTATGTCTGGAAAGGTGTAACTTTATAATTGCTTAGGGTCGACACCCTGGTGCCACTAATATCCTGTGTGACTGAACTCTCGTTGTATGTGAAATAATAAATAAAACCAATTATGGTGTTACAAATGCACCATGTCAGTTTCCAGGGATTGGTCCTTCATTGATCACAGTTATTGAGCTGGGAGACTGACCAATCCTTATAAGCAATCACCTGTTATGGTACTTTGTACTATTCCTCTGCAAATTCTAATGTATTATGTGTAAAACATATCAAGGTAGTTACGAAATTTGCCAGGTAAATTTGGCGTCGTAGCCCCCAATTTTCTACATCTTCCCAACTTTTCACTAACCACAACAGGTTAAGAATATCCTTAGCAAACAACGTTGTTCACTAACTGAAATCGAATAGAGGCAGAACACTATATTGTTATTGAGATCAAATAGCTTACTACTAAGATGCGTCGACCGACGGTCGAAGGACAGTTCTTGTCTTCTCAATGGCCTGGATGATGAAGAGAATGAAGCAACACAAAGAAGTGAATATTAGGTGTACCGCACGAGACAGCAGGGAGGTGTTCCGTCCCTTACCGTCCACACCCGTCAACTGGCCCCGTCCGCTTCTGAGCTAACTCCAGGGGGTAGCTCTTTATGGTGCCTGTCTGTCTTCTCTACCTATATTTTTATTATTTCCTGCTCAACTGTGTCCTAGTTTGCAACTTGATGATGAGAAGATGAACATTTGAGGCTACTTCCTCTACTGAAGCAGGAAACAGTTCTTGCAACATAGTGCAAGTTGACAACAATTGCAGAGACACAAATTCTAACCACTGGCAACCCTGCAAACAGGGCCAAATAATATGTTCGTTTATCTTTCTCTTATAGTCTCTATATACCATTTCGTTTAAAGGTACAGTTAAGTAAATTAACAAATTCCATTTAAGTGTCTTCCTAGTTGTTGACACTATACTATCAACCGTTGTTACGTAATCGTTATCGAAGAGTATATTCAATATTTGTGATTTAATACTGTTGTAATATATCTCTCGCAATCTTTGAGTTACTCCTACTATCTAGTACACACCCAGAGTGGTGTGTGTGTGTGTGTGTGTGTGTGTGTGTGTGTGTGTGTGTGTGTGTGTGTGTGTGTGTGTGTGTGTGTGTGTGTGTGTGCACCCGAACGAGCAGAGAGATGGAATTGTTTGTGATAAATATATAAAGCATTATTAAAAGGAGTGAGGCTGCCCAGGCATAACCCATGGATCCCTCTTTTGAAGAAAATTAAATTACAATTGTGAGAGATAAGTTAACTAATTTTCACCGTCATATAATTGGTGATTATGTATTTGCGTTTGATTCAGAGAAGTCATTCCAGCTTTTCATAACACAGTGTCCTGCGTTATTAACCTTCATTAGTTGGCAGAGATGAAGGTCTTCGTTAATTTCTGCATGTGGGATATATCAGGAAAGCAAACAAATATTTAACTTTAGTAAATTTTAATTATATGTTTGTTTCTGCTTGCTAAACAATGCTGTGACATCTTGGCTCCCGATGATTCAGGTCATCAAACAGGGCGAGGAACCGAGATCGAAAATCTGGATTATTTTCCATCATATTACTAGTAACTTGTCGTGTCTGTTCCAGTAAGTTTGGCATATTTTCTTTCTTCATGTTGATTACATCAGGCGCATCTTCCCTCTCGCCTTGTAACACCGGTAGAAAAAATGTAGCGAAGATGATTCCGTATTCCATCTTGTCTCTGTACTCCTGATGGAGCTCCTCCAGGGTGAAAGGCATGTTCCTTCCACCGGCCTCCATCACACCCCGGAAGGTGTCGTAGTAGGAGGAGAGGAAGTCTCGCCAGTTGGCCTTCCTGTCATTGCCGTGGAGGCCGGTGTAGAGGAGGTAGTTGAGGTCGGTGGCCGGGGAGGCCACACGGCTCAACTGGAGGTCAAGGAGCATCACCTCAACGGGAACACCGTCCTCGTTATACCTGTAATTGCAGAGCAAATTAAGGTAAATCTTATTATATAAAAAAAAAATCGTATTTTCCTAATTATAGGAGCTGTGTAAATATTTAAACAGAAACGTTGGTGTAATAGAACTATTAACTGAGCCTACTTGTTTATGCTATAAATTCGAGACAACGAGACTGTTGCATTTAGTTAATTTGTTTCAGGTAATGCAAGCACAAAATCAATCGATATAACTTTTAGATTTTGAAGGAATAATTTTTCCTTTTTCATTCTTGACATATAGTGAGCACGTAGAAGAGAGCTGCACGATCTAGAGTTCTAAACCTTGACATCCAAAAAGGGAAATCATTATTGTATATGTCATATGTTCCCTGAAACCTAAATTCAAGAAACGTATGTGTCGTACATCTTCTGAAGTGTTACCAGAGGCAACACTGCTAATTGTAAGACTGTAGAAAACCGTTCAGCACGAAGAAGTCAAGTTCAACGGGAATTATTTCACCATTCACTGTGCCCGTATGGTCATCTGTGCGACTGTTAGCATTTCAATAACAATTAGGTAAGGTGATTTCCCCTTATATTATATTTAGTAATGTATTTAGATAAACATGGAATTTACCATTAATTCAAGATCACATGTAACACTTCCTCATTAAATATTTACGGTCACCTGCTACTAACCCATAACGAGCCTCTTCAAAAACAGATCTTCTGAAACGGTGTTGACCATTGTACCTAGTGAAAAATTCTTCAAGTTGACATATTCCTAAAAGTATATTGCTTTTAGCCTTAAACTGGATTTTACTAAGGAAATTCGCCATCCAATCACGATAGCTTCAAGGACAAAAGTCCGATAGCATTTTGGAAACGATTTATTGATACGGCCAGAGGCGACTAGTCGGATGGTCAATATCTGAAGCCTATACAAGAGTCGTGATATTACTCCTAATTTTATACAAGCGAAATGGAGAATCAGTCACAGATAATAATTGAATAATAAACATGTCAACAACTCGATTTCCACTCACCTGAAGAGCGTATTGTTGATCCAGCAGTCTCCATGGCATAAGACGTCGAACTTGGAATTTCTAGCGAGCTGGAGCTCAAGAAGATCCATGCAATTGGTCTTATATTTGTCGAGCCACTGCTCTGCTCCCTCATAGCCTTCCTTGTTGTGTAATAATTCACTACTACACTGCATATAGGTAGAAATCATATCACTGAAATGTTTTTTAACGTTTTCCGGGAAACTCATAAAGTCAACTTTAATGTGTGTGAACCTGTCTGCCAGGTCTTGTTCGGGTGCCGTGGCCTTCAGCAGGAGGGAGGCGGCATGGAGTCTGGCCAGCTCCTGCAGGACGAGGGTGGCGTGGGCCACGTCCATTCCCTTCTTGCAGTCCAGCATTTTAAACCCAAGTGAGCGGAGGTCCTCCAGGAAAATCATCTCTTCGTCCTTTTTTAATGAAGTGTAGAACCATTTCGCTATCCGTAAACAGTCGAGTCCTAGCGTCGTTAGTTCAGCGTTGAGTAGTGGAAGGATTTCCTGGAAAAATTCTGCTTCTTTCTTAAAAATTGCTGCAAAAAACGCGGATAAAACTTCACCAGGAGGCATTTGGGGTTTGAGTTTAATCACATAGGAGGACGTCGACTCCCTCCCTGCCAGTGAGAACTTGACGCTGACGCTGGTGACGATGGTGGCGTAGTTGTCGCCTTTGAGGGTAAAGTCTTTAACGCTCCAGGAGACGAGGTCGGCCTCGCTGCCCTTGTCCGCCGTCAGCGCCGCCTTCACGTAAGCATTTGTTATGTTGTCCTGCGGTCTGGCAGCTCCTGCGTCTCCTGCACTCGCCACTGTGAATACACAAATGATGTATTTAGAAAATATAAATTAAATAAGTAGGTTATTTTAACATAAAAATAAACATATATAAATAAATGGTGCAGTGATACATGTATTCACGAATTATGTTTGAATTAATACATACATGAATTAGGTGAGGGGTTACATGTATACATTAACTGCGTGGGGATATACGCATGCATTAATTATGTGGGGATATATGCATACATTAATTGTGTGGGGATAAATCTTAACATTAATTGAGTTGAGAATGTATCTGTTTATGAATTGTAAAGGATTATATGTGCACATTTATACTTGTAAAGTGTGATGATAAAATTATACGTGAAATGGGTGGGGTTGCGTGCATACATAATTAATTTAACCCAGGCGCTGGTGGCTGAGTGGACAGCACACTGGATACGTAGTCCTGTTGACCGGGGTTCGATTCCCGGCGCCTGAGAACACACATGGGCAGAGTTTCCTTCACCCTGATAGGTCTGTTACCTAGCAGAAAATAGGTACCTGGGAGTTAGACATCTGCTACAGGCTGCTTCTTGAAAGTGTGTGTGTGTGTGTGTGTGTGTGTGTGTGTGTGTAAAATGCTAGACAGTAATTAGTAACAGTTGATTGATTGACAGTTGAGAAGCGGGCCGAAAAGGCAGAGCTCATCCCCCTCAAGCACAACTAGGTGAATACATAAGTTGTATAGGATTTGATTAATACCAAAATTGTGTGACTTACGTGTATACATGTAATGAGAAAGTAGCATGCTGTTTTGTTGGATATTTATTCATGTAAATGTTTTTGTTGCAACAGTAAGCTAGCAGTCAATGTGGTGTTTAATAATTTTGCCGAGAGTGTGTATTATTACTGAACTCCTTTAATTTACACATGTTAATGTGATAATTATGAATATTATTAAGGATATCAGATGGATGTTATATGAACTAAATTTTATGATATTAAATCATAGTTCAACTTAATGGTTATTTTTTCTTCATTTGTATAATTTTACTTGTTGAATAATTTAGGAAATTATGCAGCAGGTGAGCTGGCGAAAGAGGAAAGTTGACAGCCTTAGACCATACACATGACTAAATACCCAAACAGTGGAGGTACCTAGGCCCATGGAAATAGGTATACACACCATTTGTGGAAATTAGCACATACATTCCTTCGGACGGAAAGTGATATATATGCTAAATTAGCGAAAATGAGCATATATTCACCGGCATTCACACATACAACAAGGAATAAATTTAACGTACATACACCCTGGCAGGAAATGGTTATACATAATGCAATACACAGCCACCGTGAACGTGGTGCCACATTACTACACTCCCTCACTGAAGGTCCAATACTTGTGACCGATAGAGAATACCTTCCAAGCTGAGCAACAGACTGCACCACCTGGTTCAAACACTTTATCATTACAAATAATGCAATCGCAAATTTTGTTGTCACAGCAGTTAAAGAAGCGTTAAAGCCAATAAATTATATTATTTGTATATAATGCGAATTATTATGTTAAAGAACACATATTAATTTGATAAATATGACTGTTATCAGTTAATTGAAACACTCGAAAGTCAGACAAACTGATACACTCACTTCATACTATTAGACTATATCATCTACTTTACTGCAAGGAAGTATGATGTACAGTGAACCATTACATCACAGTTCTTTTCAACTCGTTCCTCCTATACCATCTCCTAACTCATATCTCGTTCAGGTGTTATACAGTCAAACTGGCTTAGAGTTTTCTCATTTCATTCCTTCCTCTATTGCTTGCCAAAGACAATATAGGTGTTTTATTATAAATAAACGAGTAAACAATTAAATTACAAAAGAAGGCGTTAAAGGAGTACCTTGTGGGATGCAGGAGTTAGTGGAGAAATGGTTAAAAGAAGTATATGTAGCCACATCGATTTATTTGTGAGGAAGCTGGAGATCTTTGAAAATAGAGAAAGTGGAAAGAAAGGGGGAAGCTTGGCAAATAAATATTTGCATCATCATCTTTTTGATGTTGACCAGACCACACACTAGAAGGTGAAGGGACGACGACGTTTCGGTCCGTCCTGGACCATTCTCAAGTCTCAATCGACTTGAGAATGGTTCAGTACGGACCGAAACATCGTCGTCCCCTCACCTTCTAGTGCGTGGTCTGGTCAATATACTTTAGCCACGTTATTGTGACTCATCGCCTGCATCTTTTTGATGCTTTGGAAATATCCCAAGTTAGGATCAAAGATTAATAATAAAATCGAAGTGAGGTTGACCACAAGTGAGTGAGATATGAGAGAAGATTGACAGTGAACGAGCCCTTCGGAACCATCCTGGAGACCCGAGAGACGATTATTGTGCTCCTTTGTTTAAACAAATTTCGTTATGGATATTTTTAAACACATCTAAAAACACAGAGGTGGGTAGTAGAGCATGTTCACCACGGAAGAGATGTGCAACACACACACACAACAGCTAACTTACTTTGATGCTGATAAGATGGACGGCTAACGAGGAACTGCAATTTAGTGCACTGTGGTCTATGAGACTAATGCCAGCGACTGACAAGGTGAGTACTCCCACAACCGCCAGGAGTGGTGTCTCGCCCATTAACTAGGTAATATGAGGCTGGGGTCGCGCTTTGACGGACTTGAGGGTGAAGGTTTTCGTCCTGCTGCTACCCAGTTGGATACTGCCCAGTTGGTCTGTAGAAGTAACATGGTTTATAATAAAACGTGTGTGTATAGACAGAATCCTGTCCTCTCGGCAACCAGGTAACCCACAAAACACTGAAGATTTAAAGTGTATATATATACGTGACTAAAGAGCTACTAACTCCACCAACACTTTAAGCAGCAATTATCAGAATGGAACTCGCTGCTTTTCAGTATCTTTCGGGCATTAGATAACACTGGCAATAATTAGGACATGGCGGTCGTGTCATGCTTCGGCAACAGCTCTCGACCTTTGCTCATGTTATCTGACGCAGTCATGATGTTTTCCATCTCTAGACTGTTGCGTAAGTTGGTACCACAGACAGTTGTTTCATCCTTGCATGCGCTGGAAGCCGAAATCTTGTGCATGTGATGACTATTGAACGGAAGAATATTAGAAAATTAGGGTTGTATATGAAGTAGATGTAGGAATTTATTATATATACACTCACATTCACATCTAAAATATATATATATATATATATATATATATATATATATATATATATATATATATATATATATATATATATATATATATATATATATATTATTAAATATGACCGAAAATGTAAGATTAATAATTCTAACACGAATTTTCTCAATCTTTCGTACATTACGCTTCACTGTTGGAGGTAAATCAAAAATCACTTCTCCAAAATTCATTTTTATTTCTAGTCTGACGCGACACGGGCGCGTTTCGTAAAACTTATTACATTTTCAAAGACTTCACAAATACACAACTGATTAGAACTTACGTCTCTCTGATATTATATCTACATTTGAGTGAGGTGGGAAGGGTGATGTGGCATTAACACAAGACAGAACAGGAGGGGATATTAATAGGGTATTAAAAGTATCAACACAAGACAGAACAGAAACAATGGGTATTGAATAGAAGTGTTTGTAGAAAGCCTATTGGTCCATATTTCTTGATGCTTCTATATTGGAGCGGAGTCTTGAGGTGGGTAGAATATAGTTGTGCAATAATTGGCTGTTGATTGCTGGTGTTGACTTCTTGATGTGTAGTGCCTCGCAAACGTCAAGCCGCCTGCTATCGCTGTATCTATCGATGATTTCTGATGATTTCGATTTCATCGAAGACATCATAAGAAGGAAAGTGAAAAGCCATGCAACCTCTGAAGAGACAACTAACACAACACCTATACCCCCTATTAGACTATTTTACAGGAACTTCTTTTCCACAGCTCATAAAACGGAGGAAAGGGTCCTGAAAGATATTGTTAATAGAAACGTTATCCCTACATACAAAAATCAGAGGATACAACTGACGATTTACTATAAAACCAGAAAAACGGCCAGCCTACTCATGAGAAACTCTCCAGACACAAAACAGAACGCTTTAAAAGAGACTAACGTCGTCTATGCCTTCAAATGCCCACTTGGGGACTGTAAGCTCCAAAAAACCCAGTATATAGGCAAGACAACAACATCTCTTTCTAGGCGTTTAACGATGCATAAGCAACAGGGCTCCATTAAGGAACATATAATCTCTTCCCATAACCAAACCATCGCCAGAGAAATCCTAGTAAACATCACAGAAATCATCGATATATACAGCGATAGCAGGCGGCTTGACGTTTGCGAGGCACTACACATCAAGAAGTCAACACCAGCAATCAACAGCCAATTATTGCACAACTATATTCTACCCACCTCAAGACTCCGCTCCAATATAGAAGCATCAAGAAATATGGACCAATAGGCTTTCTACAAACACTTCTATTCAATACCCATTGTTTCTGTTCTGTCTTGTGTTGATACTTTTAATACCCTATTAATATCCCCTCCAGTTCTGTCTTGTGTTAATGCCACATCACCCTTCCCACCTCACTCAAATGTAGATATAATATCAGAGAGACGTAAGTTCTAATCAGTTGTGTATTTGTGAAGTCTTTGAAAATGTAATAAGTTTTACGAAACGCGCCCGTGTCGCGTCAGACTAGAAATAAAAATGAATTTTGGAGAAGTGATTTTTGATTTACCTCCAACAGTGAAGCGTAATGTACGAAAGATTGAGAAAATTCGTGTTAGAATTATTAATCTTACTTTTTCGGTCATATTTAATAATATATGTCTACAGGAAAGACTGCTACCAAAATATACTAATATATATATATATATATATATATATATATATATATATATATATATATATATATATATATATATATATATATATATATATATATATATATATATATATATATATATATTGGTGTATACTGGCAGCAGGTTTTCTTTCAAACATGTTTCATTGAATATGACCGCATATTCTGTATTTATTATTTTCTGGTTTAGGGCTTCTATCCCTCTAACTATTTTCTTAGCATCAGGGCTTAATTGAAATAGGAGTTCTCCAAAACTCATTTTCGTACTTTTAAGGTGAAGAAAAGAAGTGATTTACTATAGAGTGTATTTACACTTTTTTATATAATTTGCACAACGTTTCGAACCTCCATGGTTCATTCTCAAGTGAACAGATCTTACAATGCTAGTTGATTTTATACTCGCACTGGGTCAGGTGATAATACAATAAAGGTGAAAACATGGGGGGATACATAAGGGATAAATGTGAGGTGAAACATAGAGGCTGCAGAAGGCTTATTGGCCCATACGAGGCAGCTCCTATCTAAACACAAAGATTAATCCAGTGTAATTGGCCTATTATGTAGGACATTGTCTTCTGTGTTGGCATCGATATGTTCTTGTCTTGTCCTTACTTTCTTGGTGGGTAGAGTAAATAGTAAATCACTTCTTTTCTTCACCTTAAAAGTACGAAAATGAGTTTTGGAGAACTCCTATTTCAATTAAGCCCTGATGCTAAGAAAATAGTTAGAGGGATAGAAGCCCTAAACCAGAAAATAATAAATACAGAATATGCGGTCATATTCAATGAAACATATATATATATATATATATATATATATATATATATATATATATATATATAAATATATATATATATAAATATATATTATATATATATATATAATTTATATAAAAAATTATATAAATTATATAAAAAAGTGTAAATATATTATATATATATATATATATATATATATATATATATATATATATATATATATATATATATATATATATATAAATATATATATATATATATATATATATATATATATATAGTTATAGTTAGTATATATATATATATATATATATATATATATATATATATATATATATATATATATATATATATATATATATATATATATATATATATATATATATATATATATATATATATATATATATATATATATATGTTTCATTGAATATGACCGCATTCATATATATATATATATATATATATATATATATATATATATATATATATATATATATATATATATATATATATATATATATATATATGTCGTACCTAGTAGCCAGAACGCACTTCTATGCCTACTATTCAAGGCCCGATTTGCCTAATAAGCCAAGTTTTCATGAATTAATTGTTTTTCGACTACCTAACCTACCTAACCTAACCTAACCTAACGTTTTCGGCTACCTAACCTAACCTAACCGATAAAGATAGGTTAGGTTAGGTTAGGTAGGGTTGGTTAGGTTCGGTCATATATCTACATTAATTTTAACTCCAATAAAAAAAATTGACCTCACACGTAATGAAATGGGTAGCTTTATAATTTCATAAGAAAAAAATTAGAGAAAATATACTAATTCATGAAAACTTGGCTTATTAGGCAAATTGGGCCTTGAATAGTAGGCATAGAAGTGAGTTCTGGCTAATAGGTACGACATATATATATATATATATATATATATATATATATATATATATTTATATATATATATATATATATATATATATATATATTATTTATATATATATATATATATATATATATATATATATATATATATATATATATATATATATATATACGTGATTACTTATTTAATAATTAATCACTTTAATTAATTTAATAATTAGTGATATGAATTTAATAATTAAGAGTGATTAATTTAATAATTAAACACTCTTCAATCAATTAATCAATCACTTTAATAATTATCACTATTCCTTCTGCTTGGTCTTCAAGGAAGCCGGCCTCGGGTGAAAGGGGGCTGTGACAATCTCTGTCTGGAACCCATTGGTGCGGCACCGGAACGTCCACATCCTGGAGCTCGTGCGGGCTAGGCTCTGCTTCAGGAGGCTGAGGTCGTTTTTACCCTTGTTGGGGTGGTTCTTGTCCGGCCCCGTCCCCGGCGGTCTCCGGGTTTGGAGGTCCCTGTGCCCTTTTTCACCAACTTCGAGGTCAACCCCGGAGCTCACAGTTCCCCGCGACGGAGCTGGAGCCAATCGTATTGGCGTTCGGCTTTACATTGGGGACTTTCGGCACCGTGGAGGGGGGAGGACCTGCTGCCTGGGTAACAGCTTCTCCTCCATATCAACCTACCCTGGCTTTGCACCCTTGTGAGGCCACTCCAGAGCCCAATTCCATAGTCTCCTGAGACTGATGGATGCCTACTGTGTTTATTAGTATGTGAATATTGGCTGTTGTAGTTATGTTGCTAGGCTGGACTGTGTACATGTTTTGATCCTTGATTTAAACAGAACCAGTGTTCAGTTATAGAACTGAGTTAGTTAATTTTATCCTTGTATTAACAATACAAGCTGATGAGTTAAATTGTCTGCGCGCGCGCGCGTGTGTGTGTGTGTGTGTGTGTGTGTGTGTGTGTGTGTGTGTGTGTGTGTGTGTGTGTGTGTGTGTGTGTGTGTGTGTGTGTGTGTGTGTGTTTGTGTGTGTGTGTGTGCACAGAGAGAGGGAGTTGTTTAAAATATATATATAAAGCATTACTCAAAGAAGTGAGGCTGCCCAGGCTTGACACACGGATCCTTTTCTTGCAAGATAATTAAATTAGAATTGTGAGAGATAAGTTAACTAATTTTCACCGTCAAATAATTGGCGATTATGTATTTGCGTTTGATTCAGAAAAGTAATTCCAGCTTTTCATAACACAGTGTCCTGCGTTATTGACCTTCAGTTGGGCAGAGATGAAGGTTTTCGTTAATTTCTGCATGTCGGATATATCAGGAAAGCAAACAAATGTATAACATTAGTACATTTTAATTATATGTTTGT